TCACTGCCCTGAGTCCCGTAAGGGAGATAGGGCGGTATATAAATTTAATAAATAAATAAATGAATAAGATAAGATATAAGATAAGATAACCTTTATTGTCATTTTTTTACTGTGGGCTCAACGGCACACACCAAAAATGAAATGTAGTTGCCCGCTCTCAAAGTGAAACACGTACATGACACACCCTAAAAACATACTATGTACAACATATGTACAGACCCACACCCCTACATATACATAACGAATAAATATTAAATACTGTCCATCTTGAGTATATAACGGAAGGAGGAAGCTTGAGAGGGGCAAATCTTTCTCCAGGAGAGTCCTAATAAATGAAATGAAAAGGGGTGGTGGGGTCCCAGCATTTCCCCCCCCCATGGAACTCCCCCTCCCCCACTCACCTCTCCAGCCAATCACGAAGCCGCCCTGGAGAGTCTTGTAGTTGTGTCGGCAGAAGCGATCCACGGAGGCCTTCTGGTACTGCAGCTCGTGCTTATCCCTGTTGAAATCCTCCACATCCGCCTTCCCCAACGCCGTGACGGCCTCGTACTCCCCGCGGGCGCTGTCGAAGCGGAGGATCTCCTGCCGGTCGTAGATATCCCGGTACACGTACCGCACCCGCTGCGTCCCGTTGAGAAAGTGGCACTCGTACTTCGTCTGGTACAGGAAATGGGCTGCGGGGAGGAGGAGGAGGAGGAGGAGGAGGAGGAGGAAGGGCGTCAGGAAGGACTCCAGGGCCCATGGTCCTCAGCCTCTCCTAGAGGAGGGACCCAGGCTTGGCAGAGGAGAGGAGGGAAACCTGAGGAGGCTACCGGAAGGCGCCCCCTGGAGGAAGGATGGGGAACTGTCGGTCCAAGCGGGATTCCCCCTTGGTGGGCGGTCGGGAGGGGGGAGGAAAATGAGGGAGGCGAGGAGCTTCCTGAGGGACCGCCTCCTTCTCCCGAGGGTGGAAAAAGGCAGGCAGAAGTTCAGCTGGTCCAGCACTCGGTCTACCTGTCTACCTGTCTGCAAGGAACGTGGGATCCCGGTGGGCCCTCTTTGCCCCCCAAACACACACACTAGATCTAATTTTTGTCTCTGGCCAGTGGCAGAATGATCTGGAAATGGGGGAGGTAGTTGTTGAACCCCTGTCATGGTCAGATCATTCACTCCTCAGGATGGACTTCCGGACCGCTCCCCCCCGCCGCAGGGAGGAGGAACCGCCTAGATGGTTCCGCCCCAGGCGCCTGATGGACCCGCAGAGGTTCCTGACGGAGCTTGGGCCATATCCTGAGGACCTAGTTCACGATTCGGTTGACAATCTGGCGGCGGCCTGGGAGACGGCCGCTGCCGCAGCATTGGACCGAGTCGTGCCTTTGCGGCCTCTGACCCGGCGCAGATCTCAGTTGGCTCCCTGGTTTACCGGGGAGCTGAGAGAGATGAAGCGCCGGAAAAGACGCCTGGAGAGCAGTTGGAGGAGGAGCCGAACCGAATTCGACCGAACACAGGCAAGGATACAGGTTAGATCCTACCTAGTGGCGATGAGGGTGGCGAGGTCTAACTACTACTCCACCCTCATTGCGTCATCAGATAATCGCCCGGCCA